AAAACCCAATCCTAAACCCGCAAGCAGAGGGGAGTAATGCCGCCTCTGGGAGTAAGAATAAAGGGAAAGAAAGAGCCCGCGAAGAATGAAGCAAAAAAGTAAATGAATTAGAAAAATTATATAATCAATGAAAAGAATTAGGGAAAGAAATTGAAAACGGAATTACTAGGTTCAATAAAATACAATCCAAAAAGGGAAGTTATGAAAAATTTACTGATAAAGAAAAAAAAGAGTTTGAGGAGTTAGAGAGAAAAATAAGCCAAGCACAAGAAATTAGGAAAAGGATTATAGAACTAAAAAAAGAACTTGATTTGGGCAATAGTGAGGAGGAGGAAAAAGCTATCAAAATAGAAATCGAGCAACAAATTAACCGGACTAACCAGTTAATAGAAAAAGCAGCTTTGTTCGACGAAAAAAAAGTAGAAGAAGTTTTAAATGCGGTAGGTGAAGAGGTATACCGATATTATGAAAAACAGCAAAATGACAATATAACGAGAGCTACGCGTCAAGTTAACGACCCAATTTTAGGATTATTAGCAATGATAGGTGATATATCAAGATTATGGTCTCCCGTCCGCGAACATTTTCATAATGAGTGAGAAAATAAGGCAAAGGAAGAAGTTGTAAAATCAGCGTCAGAAATAGTAGCTAAAAGCAGTGATCAAGTTATAAAGTTCGCCCAAGAACTTTTAGCCAGTAAACAAGTTTTAATAAGGATTAAGGAGATAATGAACGATAAAGAAAGAGAAAAAGTGACGAGATCAAAGATACTCATAAATATGAGTCCTTGTGACGTGAAATGTATTTCAATTCTTTTACAGTGTTTTTTACTAACTTTGCCTTTCTTGGGTGTAGGAGAAAGTACTCTAGAATCTGCATCTAACGATATAGCTAATTCTATCCCCCCCGCCGACTTTGGAAAATTTGGTGCATTAATAGGAGAAATATCTAGAGCGGGTAGTATCTTTGAGAAGGCAAAAAAGATAGTTAAACTTGTAAACATGTCTCTTTCAATTGTTGGAGGGAATTTAACGGATAATAATTATAGGATAATTAGGAGTTGGTAATTGGTGTTAAAATTTTGAGAGAAATTTTCCTTACTTTCTTAATTTTTTACCTTCTTCAAAACCCGCTTGAAAAGCTTTTTTTCTTTCTCGGTCAACAATTTCTTTCAATTGACTAGTTAAATCCGTTAATTCGTCCTCGGAAGTGTCGGACAACTCCCACACGATTTTATTTATTTCCTCCTCGGGCAAACTAGGAGCATGATTATTTTTTGTCATATTTTTTTCTTCTAAAACAGTTTAACACTCAAATAGA